TGACCGTGGCACCTATTCTCTTGCAAACCGCCTGCTATGCTCCACTTGATCTTGTCAGAATTTGGTCATACCAATTAGTATAGGAGAAGTTTAGCAGAAACCACTTGTTCTTACCCCACACCCAAGTTAAAAATATTTGGCTCCTGCTTCCAATCTGGAGGAAAGATTCAGACTATTTTCAAGTTCTGTGAGATAGTATTTCTTTAAAACAAACTAGTCTCACTCATGTATTTGGACAGTTGTTATTGTAGCAGTACTACTTGCTTCTTTATTGCCTGTTACTAAATCATAAGAATGTTTAGGTACACTGAGTAGTCCCCATGATCCAATAGAGCCATTCATTTTCCTGATAGTTAGACCATTAATGAATACATAGCAATCTTCCCATCCTCAGAATCTTCTAGACTTTTTCTGTTCTTATCTTTTTCTGGCTTGTTCCTTGCTCTGTAAACAGCTTTTAACTTAGTGTCATGAAACACCCGTAACAAGAATTCAAGATAACAAAGTCCACAAGCCTGGTCAAGACAGTGTATTCCAGATGCTCCAAGCTTTTCTGATGCCTGATTTAATGATGTGCCCTTTAAACTTATTTAGAAACCAAATCTTTGAAGGAATAAAGTACTGAAAAATACAATACTCTGCCAGTATGCCTGTCAGTTTATCATTGACTCTCTCTCACTTACATGAATGTATCTAAGAGCAGTTAGTCCCCCTTTTTCACTTTAAATGTGTAAAAATACGTTCCTATTTTTTCCTTCACTGACTGTTGCTCTGCACCTCAGATTGCTTAATTTATCATTGGTTCCCATTTTCCTGACACCTTCTTATGGGAAGAGGCCAACGTAATAAATTCTTCACTGGTTCAGGGATCTTTGGACAGAGAGACCATTACAGAATTAAAGCTTTGGGCTGTGAGCTCTTTTACAAGGACGTTTTGGTATGAGGACCTCTACAAATACCTGTACTGAAGAACAGAGTTCCTAGGACAAAATTGCTCAGATTAAATGGTTCCTACAGTGGCTGCCAGCTTAATGGAAAGATGCCGATGGATAGACATCTGCCAAGAAAAACTTGTAAGATAGAAGCCCAGCTCTATGAACCTCTGAACACATTTATCCAGCGCATGCAAAGTGTGTCTGTGTTTCACAGTCAGAGAGGGCATTTTTTTGAAGGGAGTAACAGGTAGACTATTAGTGCTTTGCATCACTGGTGCTGTCAGCCAAAATGATTAACAGTTTGATCTACATGCAATTATGACTATGCATTTAATCAAGGGGATTTTAATGCAGACAGTGTGCTGAAAGCTGGTTCTTTCTCCATACATATAAGAATGGCAGGTTCTTTTAACAAATCTCTCACATATTAGGCCTTTTTAAGCATCTCTAAAATGGTGGTAACTGTTACACACGCACTTTGAAGTGTTAGAATGATGTAAAGAAGTGTTAGAATGAAACAAAGAATGTTACATCAAGACATGGTGTAAGGACAATGCAAAGTTTCTTATCTTGACTCAGGAGAGACACCAGCAGCCCAGTCTGCTCTCCGTGTGAGAACCAGCAAAACTAAGAAAAAGCGACAGTGATAGTAGTAGGTGACTCTTTTTAGTGGTACAGAGGCACCCATTTGCCAACCTGATGGGCTTTCTAGAGAGGTGTGCTGCCTCCCAGGGGCTTGTATCAGAGATGTCAGTAAGAAAGTAACAAGCCTCATGCACTCCACTATTATCTGCTGCTGTTTCACATGGGCACCAGTGACACAGCCAGGAGCAGTCTGAAGAGTATCAAGAAAGAGTACAGAGCCCTGGAAGCAGCACTAAGGGCCTCGAGTAAAGGCAGTCTTTTCATCAGTCTTGATCAAAAAGAAGAGGATTGAAAGGGCCAGTCAAACCTGGTAAATCAACAAATTTTACAGGTTACAAGACTGGTGCCACAGACCCATCTTTCAGAAACCTGGTCTACTGGGGGTTTATGGCATCCATCTGTCAAGAGAAGGAACACCCTGCTCAAGTGAAGCTGTCCTGCTTCTAGCTAACGATGTTCAGCTCAGATCTGGTTATGACACCCTCCTTCCATACTAAAACTGTATTTCGAAGCCTGCACTGGAAGTCTCTCTTGATTTAAATTCACATCCTAACAATCTCTGCTGCCTACCCCATGTAGGCACAAGCTGTGTAAAACTAGTAAGATAAAGTAGGTATTGGTAAGGTAGAAAAGAAGGTTGCATGGATACCTCATAGCAGCCTTCCAATATCTGAAGGGGGCCTACAAGGACGCCGGAGAGGGGCTTTTCATCAGGGACTGTAGTGATAGGACAAGGGGGAATGGGTTAAAACATAAACAGGGGAAGTTCAGGTTAGATATAAGGAAATTCTTTACAGTGAGGGTGGTGAGGCACAGGAACAAGTTGCCCAAGGAAGTTAATGCTTCATCCCTGGGATGTGTTCAAGGCCAGGTTGGACAACATGGTCTAGTATAAGGTGTCCCTGCCCATGGCAGGGGGGTCGGAACTAGGTGATCTTAAGGTCCTTTCCAACCCTAACTATTCTATGATTCTATGATTTCGTTTTTAATTTATCAGCTGATGCTTTTAAGTAGAATCTGTTTAATGAATATTAGAGCTGGAAAAGACTGCTTGAATGTGTAGTCTGTTTCTGTGCCTAAGGAAGAACGATGTGTATTGTATTCTAATCAGTGTTTTGGCCAGTCTGGTTTCTGTACTGTGAGAAAGGGAGAATAACATCTAGGGTACACTTAGAGCACTGATTAAAATGGCTGTTTGTGGATGCTGCTGGCTGTGGAGGTGGGAAAACCAACAAAACCTCAGTACACTGGTTTTATCTACCTTCAGAAACTTACTGTGCTTGCATGTGATAACATAGGGATTATAGACTAACCTGTGAAACTGAAAGGATCTCAGCTCATCATTATCTCTTCACCCATTAATGCAAACACAGCTCAAAGCAGTTACCTAGTATCATTTAGATTTGTTTTGTGGACTCCTATGCCACTGGAAAAAATACACCTGAGATTAAAGATGTGACTTATTCAAGCTAGACAACTGGTTTATATTTTATGACTTAACGCTTGTGTGACTCAGAAACAACTATCACCTTCTCTGTGAGCATTTTTTTTACATGAATGGAATTTGTTTCTGTCGAAACAGAAGAAGATTCTTTTATGTGAAAGAGTAGCAGATGTTAAATACAAACACCTAGTAATAGAAGATTTACTTTTCCTGTATTTTTGGCAATGAAGCATCATTGCCACTGGCCAGGCTGTGAAACAGACCAAGGGCAAAACTACCACAGCCTTTGATGAATCTTTCAGGTGGCTCTCTTACTTTTTAAGGATCTAGACAAAATAGCTTGGAGGTGTTCAGTATCTAGCAACTCTGAAAGCATTCTTACAACAGCTGAATTCCTACTATTCCTACTATCTCTGGGAATGAACATTATAAAGGAAAGGAAGGCACAGCAGCTGAATCTTTTGGAAAAAAAACCCCTCAAATCCAGCTGTCTTGCTGTTGAAGTAGCTCTGGCTGAGGGTAGCAAATACATGACAGAAAAAAAACTTCCATCGTTAATTTCAGGTCCCAGTTTCATAAATCTAGATGAGTAATTAAGCTTTAATGAATCTGAACTCTAATTCATTAGATTTTAATTGCATTAATATACCTTTTCATATGACATATTGCCTATGAATTGCATCCACACAGTATTTAAGAAAAAACACCTTGAGAGTTTTATAAATCCCCTTGATACTGGGGTTCCCAGTTTGTTTAGAGGTTTGGGGTTTATCTTCGGGCCTTGTAAAACTACTTAAGTACAGGTCCTCCAACCTGAAGAAGCCTTTATGAATTTTCTGGGTCTGGCATTATGGATAGGTATATAGATATGAAAACAGAAACAACCATTAGACTGATAAAATCTGAGCACAGATATACAGGTTGTCCTCAAAGTAATTATATATGAACAGGACACAACATTAAAAAAAGAAAAACGAAAACCAAACTGAAACCCTAGTCTAACCTTAAAGTAAAACTCATTTAAAACGGTGTACAGACACTGTCCTTTGATAACAGTATTAGAATCACAGAATCATAGAATGGTTAGGTTTGGAAAGGACCCTAAGACTCTCTAGTTCCAGCCCCCCTGTCATGGGCAGGGACACTTCATACTAGATCATATCATCCATAAACACATTACTTTAAAAACAATGTGGTATTTCAGGGGTGTCATACAATACAAACTACTGTTAGACTTTGACCACAGTTTAGAGCTATACTTAGCATATATATAAAACAGGTGGCCTAAAAGTGGAGTGTACCCTTCTGAGAGATGGCAACTCTGTGCTGACATCTTACGGAGAAAACACATGACAGATGAATGACATCAATCAGCAGGTCTAGGGTATGGGTCTTATCTATTATTTTTTAATCAGTTTTGAGGGAATTTCTGCATACAAGATAGGATCTACATAGAAATCTCAGCAAATCTGATGTTTGTAATCTTGTGTGAAAGTCTGAGTCAACTAAGTACACATGGGGTGGCTGGGATGAGCAGGCACTTTAAAAATCTTCACATAAGAAAAAAGCTGATAATGCAGATACCATATGGGCTTTGATTCTGGACATTCTTGAATGCTGAGGAAGAGTAGACTGTGATTTTACAACATAGCTGTAGCAAAGAAATACTGAACATCCAAGCTGTCCTGGAAAGCCAGATAACAGATTATTGATAATTAATTTCACCTCTACTTCTGTTTTAAGGAGGTGGAGGAGAAAATAAGCATGTTCAGGTCTTGCAATGCAGCAGCCTCATTATCTTCCTTTACAGCCAGTGTACTCACGGAGAACAGAGCTCTCTGTGTCACTGCATCAACAGAAGGGAATATGGGTCAAATAGTTCCCAATATTCAAAAACATGTTTGACAAGACCAAGCATTGAATGCATAAAGCAATAAATAAAGTCCTCAAGGACAACATTTAATTATGTTGCTTACCAAACAGGACACTGGTACTGCATGATAGATGGCAAAGATGAACGAGCTCATAATAGCTCTTATCTCTTAAGCAAATTTGGTGTGATTGGCACCAAGTCAATTGTGTTCCTGTAGAAGACAGCAGATAAAATCACCTTGGATTTATACATTAAGCAGCACAAACTGTTAAAACAATAGCTCTGTATTATGGTGGCTGAAAGCACGTGTTTGTTTAGCAATTAAGTCTTAACCTAACAGTGAACAGTAGGTTCTACAATAAATGCATACATACAGTAACCTGACAAACAGAAATTTGCCAGATAGCAGAAATTTTAAGAACTATCCTCCATTTAGTCAGTCTCACAATTAAATGTTAAATAAGAACCTGTCATACTTGCTTTCAAACAACCCATTCGGCATTAGGTTTGGGGGTTCACAGGCAGTGCAAGGTAGGAACAGGGGGAAAAAATCAGCCCATGAGCACTTGCAGTTCAAACAATACTTCTGAGCCATGCTTAGATATTGCAAAAGATATAGTATAAACTAATGTTTACTCAATTACTGAATTTTGTTTGGATCAATGTCTTCTTCTGAAGATATTTTTATAGGGACAACAAAATCGTTTATGTTCGAATCACCCAAAAATAACAAATTGATGCTCCTCTCACTAGACTCAAGTGAAATTCACTTCTGCATATTTCACTTTTTATTTTGAATAGGTGGTAAGTTACAGTGGTGCTTCAGAGGTATTCAAAGATATGCCTTTGCTTGAAGGCTTTGTTCTGACAACATATATTTTCATCAAAGATCTATTTAATAAACTTTTCACTGTATTTGACTGTTCACACTACTTGATTACTCTGTTGCGTGTCATTTCTGTCAGCTGTTTACAAAATAAGACCCTAATTTCCTGTGAAAAGATTGCAGAATGAATCTTACAGTTAGTTCATGCATTTAGCTAGGCATATGATTTTTAGATTTTTCCTTCACAGGTTTTGTAAATTAATACAGAAAAAAGCTATAAAGAGACACAGGCACAGGCTTAACACAAGGCCTTCAGCTACCTGGAGGATGACTGCTGCAGAATAACTCATAGAGAGTAGAAGAGATCATTTATTCAAAGAGCTCTGTGTTTCCTTCCTAGGCTACTTGTTTTTATTATGGCATTATTTTTTTGGTCTCTAAAGTATCTAGAAATACACTCTTAATATTTTTATTTAAATATCTATGGAGTTTTTATTTAATTTATTTTAATTAATTAAATATCTATGGGATCTATGGGAAAGAAGGGGCATCTTTCCCATTTGGCAATGAAAATAAATTATGCTTTTCTCTGCCATTTGATTTAAATGACAGTTTCCATGAGTCTGTAACATTACAGTGTCTGTGACAGAGGCACGAGACTTATTTACTGTATTGTCATGCAGTAAAAAAGCAATTGCATAAATATGCATTACTTTGTATTTTTTACATAAGAGGAAAAATTCCATCTGTCACCCCCACTGCAGCTTACAATCCCTGTTTTATATCTCTATTTTTAAGCAAATAGTGAAAGTAACATGCCAACAGTATAACACTGCATAGATTGAAATTAAACTATGCTGCTTAAACTAAACTAATGTAAAGGAAAATGTTTAGAAATAGTACAGCATTGCTACTCCCTCCTCCCCCAAGTGATTCATGATGACATGGTGACGTTGGCTGAATCCAAGGGCAAGATTTCCTGCAAGCTCGTCAGAGCACACTGTTTTTCAATATTTGAAATGTGCATAGGTCTGACATGGTTGTCCCCTGAGTTTCCTGGTAGCTATGTTACTACAGAGACAACCAAGATTTTACAGAGTGTTTAGTACAGACCTCAGAGAACTGCTGTGTGGCTATATTTAGAGGGAGGGTTCACTTAAAATACATACCTGCAACAGAAGCCCTGAAGCACTAGATTGAAGACCTCCTTAGAATGGACTTTTGCTCAGGATAAACGTAGCACTGATAATCAATAGAACCCCAAAATAATCAGAGACAAAATACTCTTCATGTTATTGACAAAGTACTTGTGAAGAAATCCAGCTCCCTCCATGATGTCCATGATGTCTTTGACAAAATAACCAGTTACTAAAGGAAGACCCAGTAAATGGCCGGGCTAACATGCTCTATTGTGAACATTCTTCCTTTCTCTTTCTTTAGTCAATGAATACTGATGTCTTTTTTGCACCATGACATAGAACTAAGAGGGAAGGTAGAAAGTGTGCTTCGGTAATTAAATTACTTGTAGCATAGTACTGAGAATGCCTTTGTACACCGTGTAGGTTACAGGGCATCCTCAGCAGAGCTAGTTCTCCCACTTCCTTGGCAAATGTTTGGCAGGCTGGTTTCTGGAAGGGAGAGCAGTTTTCACTCTAGTCTTGTCCTCAAAATAATGCAGTTGTCATAACTTTATTTTTAAGCAGGACAATTCCTCTGCTGTGTTTTAGGCATCCTCTGAGAAATCAATCTCTCTTTCTGATAGATACCTGTTAGAGACCAACCCAATCTAAACAGTGAACTAATCAGCTATGCCATGATTCGTGTAGTCTGACCACATAAAAAGGGGGAACTTTAGGCACTAGAGAGACTTGAAGTTAAAAAATGAAACAAAACAATATGTGTATTGAGTCAAAGCCAAGCAGCAGCCATTTGAGTGAAGGAAGGGGAAGGGAGTTCAAGTTGCAGTTTTAAATCTGGTGCTTACCTCTACCATTAGAGTACCTCTCCTGTTTCTAGACTGTATTCAAAAGCTATGTCCACATGACAATTTCAGGGGCAAAGGCTCTGCAATCATAATTGCATCTAAAGAGATTGGCTTCATCTGAAGCACTGATCCAAAGCCAGCAGAAGTTTTTGTGCTGTCTTATGTTTCTGACATAAACCACAAAAAACAACCAATCAGAAGTTCACAGGGGCTTTGGGAACAGCATGATGTCAGTTTGGTGGGGTGAACTTTTCACACCCTGAATCAATATCAGTGCTCTGGTAAAAGCTCTGTGGCATGGCTTCCCTCTGTGCGCTCGATAAAAAAGATCATCTGAGTAATGACTCAGGACACAAAGCCCCAGGTACTGAATAGGCAGAAGAAACTGAAGGTTTTATAAAAATATTAAAGCAAAAGAAGATGAAGGGAAAAGCTGGTGATAGTGGGAAGTTCTTCTGGTCATGCTTAAGTGTTTAATATATAATGTTGTCCCAAGCACTACATCTAAGAGCCAAGTGGAAAAGGTGGAAATTCATGCTGCCATTCTGCCTCCAGGCAAACAGGATTTAAGAACTCAGTGAAATTAAAATGGAAGAAAAAATCCATTTCATGGTGTCAGATACATGCACCAGAGAGTAGGAAGGGCAGACAGAAAGACAGAAATTGAGCCTGACACTTTGAAAATGTACTGGGGACATGCAGGCAATAAGAGGAGAACTGAGTATTATCTTTACCTAGGAGGGCTGTGCAAGCTTAGCCTGAGCAGTCATTCCTAACAGCAATCCATTAGCCATCCCAACATCACAGACAGATGCGTGCACACACACACAGAAGTATACACATACACACACACTTGACAGTGAACATGAAAATAAATTACAATAGGGAGCTGCAAGCTGCCAGATCACCCTAAATCCTGCAGGTGTTCAGGCTGAACACAGGGAAAATGTGAATGTCCACAACCGGATCAACAATCATGGCCAGCAGTCCTGATATCTATATTTTCTCAGTGGGAAAAGAAGATACTGCATCTGAGAAATGGGACCGAGACAAATAAGAAGTGACATACTTTAGAGAATATATGAATGTATATTGAAGGTCACCTGAGCACTCCTGCTTATCCTTCTTCAGAGCCCTGCCCTCAACAAAATTGGATGACCCTGTATTCAAAAGTGGTGAAAGGAATCTGCTTATATACAGCAGCACTAATCTGACTTTGAAGCACAGTACAATGGGATTTGAAATGCCTTTGTAAGTATTAAAAAAAAAAATACTTTTGTAAGAATAAAAAAAAAAAAAAGAAATCAGGAATCACTGTAAAATGTCTGGTGAATTCAAACCTTTATTCTCCTTTATGCTTTGTATCACTCACTAATTGCCTGGGTTTAAAAGGAAGCTTCCCTGTACATGTGTTGTAGTATTGTCATATAGTATCATTGCACTCTTATTCGTTATGCTGTACTTACAAATACTTATGATATTCTGAGGAAGCATCTAGGATATGCTACTCACATGAATTCATTTGCTTTTTCCTGCATTTCTCTATTTCTGCTGAATACAAGACAGGATTGTTTACAAAGCAAAAAACAATAGTAGGAAATGAGCACCCAAACAAACAGATAGGGTTCTATACTTTAGGTGCAAAATTACACCATATTAATTCAAAATTTGTTCAAAATTACATTCCTGCACATTATGCCTTCCTCTTTTCTTTTGCTCTTTTTCCTTTCTCTTTTCTGTTTCCTCCTTTGCTTTCCTTTCCCTTCTTCCCTTTCCTTTCTTCCCTTTCCTTTCCTTTCCCTTCTTCTCATTCCTTACTCTTTTCTCTTTCCATTTCCTCTTCTTTCCTTTCTCTTTTCTGTTTCCTCTCCTCTCCTTTCCTTTTCCTTTTCCTTTTCCTTTTCCTTTTCCTTTTCCTTTTCCTTTTTCTTCACTTTTTTCTTTCCTTTTCCTTTTTCTTCACTTTTTTCTTTCCTTCTCTTTTTTCTTTCCTTTTTCTTTCCTTTTCTTTTTCCTTCCCTTCCCTTTCCCTTTCCCTTTCCCTTTCCCTTGTTCTTCCCTTTTCTCTTTCCTTTCTCTTTTCTTTCCTTTTTCCTTTCTCTTTTCTTTCCTTTTTCCTTTCCCTTCCTTTCCTTTTTCCCTTACTTTCCTTTTTCCTTTCCTTTCCTTTCCTTTTTCCTTTCCTTTCCTTTCCTTTCCTTTCCTTTCCTTTCCTTTCCTTTCCTTTCCTTTCCTTTCCTTTCCTTTCCTTTCCTTTCCTTTCCTTTCCTTTCCTTTCCTTTCCTTTCCTTTCCTTTCCTTTCCTTTCCTTTCCTTTCCTTTCCTTTCCTTTCCTTTCCTTTCCTTTCCTTTCCTTTCCTTTCCTTTCCTTTCCTCTTTCCTTTCCTTTTTGCTTCCCTTCCCTTTCCCTTTTCTCTTTCTTTTCTCTCTTCTGTTTTCTTTCCTTTCTCTCTTCTGTTTCCTTCCCTTCTCTTTCTCTTCACCTTCCCTTCCTCTCTTTTCTCTTTCCTTTCTCTTTTCTTTCTTTTCTCTTTCCTGTTTCCTTCCCTTCTTTTTCCCCTTCTCTTCTCTTCCCTTTGCCTTCCTTTTCTTTTACCTTTGCTTTTCTGTTTTCTCTCTTTTGTTTTTTTTTTCCCCCTCCATTTCTTTTTCCTTTTGTCTTCTTTTCTTAGACATTAAGGAAAGGCCTCAGTGACATACTATTATATTTAAATATATTTCAGGATTTATCCTCTATAAGATGCAGATATTACTTTCATGCTATGATATTTGCATTTCTCGCACCCTTAAATGCCAAAACTTCATAAAACACGATTCTGCAAATGTTGCCCAGCTTTTCCCAAAGCTAAGAAC